ATAGCATACTTGGATGGTTGTGCCAAGATACCGATGCGTTCCAACTAACTGGCCAGGGAGTCGAATACGAGCAGCGCAACGTAACACGACAGCGTGCCAAATGGCGAGGATGCTTGACTGGGTGCCTTCAGCTTAGCGAGTCCAGTTAAACTATCAGGGTCAGCATCAATGTCGGAAGTCGTCAAACCCTAGGCTATTGATTTTACGGAAGTGTGTGACGCTACACCCTCTTTGCGGGGTACGACTGATCCTGGTACTATCAGCTTCTACTATATCTGCAAGGCAGAGCTGACTCAACCCGCCACCAAATGCCACTTGGACCTCGGCTGACTCCATGTTGTAGTCTTTCAGAAGCTCTAGGAGCAGACAGTTGGTGGAGCTGGCCGAGGTTGACGGGATGTAAATTCATATTGGATATCCACACCGAACAAAATCAAGTACGTCACAGGCCGGTCCAACTCTCAGCTCCAAATTGCCACAAGCAACCCAAAATGGTGCGTAGAGAAGCTGGCAAACTCTTATGGTTAAAAGTGCGCCGCTGGACTGAGTGCAATAGAATGAACCGTGGGTCTACTCGAAGGGAGCCCATACAAGGCCAAAAAATGGTGCAACGGATCATTGAGAGGTGACGTGTATCAACACCAATTGCGGTTCATTAATGCGTTCTCCCCAAACTAGAAATCCCTTTTCACTATCCAGCATTACTCCGGTGAGCCAAAGAAGGAGTCTTCCGCCCGACGAACTCGAGTGGGCCAACTTCTAGTGATATTTGGGTGGCCGAATCTTCGACTGGCTATTATTGGTAGGCCTTCCCATCATCAACTAAGCCTACAGGTACGTGTGGACGTCCGGTTGAGATGACAGAAATGCCAGCCGTTGTTTTGAATGTCGAGCTAGCACATCATAAGCTGGCGCTGTTAGGAGAGGACACGCCCCCAGTTCCTGGCAAAATCTGTACCATCAGCCTTCAGAAAGAAGCCCCACCTCTTGCTCAACCCTCCAGGAGACCATGTTTTCATTTGTTTAGTCGGGGTGAGGCGCTTAAACTATGGGAGGCAAGTCATATCTCATCCATCTTCAAGGACAGTCAGCTAAGAAGCCCAGTGAATTACAGGTTGGTGAGATTTTCGTCCACGCCTCCCGAACGAATTGATTTGTCGTTGGTACTCATGTTTCCAAAATATATCAAGCTGCTTTCGAAAGTTGTCGTATATCACCAACCTATCAACAGCAGTGAGTAAATGGACTAGGTGTGGAATGCTTGTTGTTCAGCTCAAAATTTCAAGGAAATCAGAGTATATATACCACGACTGTCTCACTAAGAATTTCAGGTTACCATTGGCCGATTTTACACCGAATGGCCACCTACCACTATGTTTGTGCGACCATTTATTTAGGGCTCGACTTGAATCTGTTATGCCCGAGAATAAAAGACACTCTGGTTGAGCCCCCTGTGTTCCGAATAAGGGTCCCTTCTGCCTCCAAGTTACACAAATGGTTCAACCCTATAGATGTCCTTTAAAATTCACCTCCTGGCTGATTGTGAAAAGGCTCTGGAGAGAAATCGGAACCGGAGACAACAGGCTCACCCTGCAAGACAGCTTGACACGAATTCAACGTTCGACAGGCTATAACAGTCTAACCTTCAACTTTCGAAACTGTAGGGTGGTTCATCTACAGCACGTCGCTTGCCAGGTACTACAACCTCAGCAGCATAGATCTGGTGGTATCTTCTGTAGGAATGGATCTCCTAATCTCGGTTCTTCATGACCCGAAGTTCTATGCTGACTTTGACAGAGTGTGTTCCTGACCTTATGACGAGTCCTTAGCTGTTTAGATCACCGATATTTTCATCAAGTCACGAGCGACTTCAGGCGGCCTAGTCTAGAGTTCTGAACTATGGTCTCTCCTCATTCACGGTCGGGATTTGGAAGGCAATTGGGTGGCCGAATAATAAGGCACAACATTTTGCGCGTCCTAAGTCAGTCACTTTATCATTTGCTTGAACCGGCCTCTCACGTCAATCCTAGAAGGCAAGGAGTCAAATGTAGCAGGATGAATATGGGTGTAGCTTTAGGTCACTATGGGTTGTCAGGTCTTGGAATTCTCTCTCCGCAGAGGCCGTTCGAGTTACCTCGTCAAGTTGACTCAGAGAACCTTGACGCCTGTCCCAGGTCTCAGCAGAAGCTTCTAGAACAAGTATCTGCTAGCTCCATTTTAACTGTCTCCCACCCACATGGGTTTTCGGACATAGAAACCGGCGGTTTACTACCTCCAGACGTGGAAACCCCCAACTACGGCTGCTCCTAAAGGGGCTATTCAGACGGTCGCCACCATTCCTTTCTTATGTTAATGAATTACTAACGATGCTTAGACAGCCGTTGTTGGTTTTCTGTGGTGAAATCAGTATCTGAAGGGTTCTTCGTGATGAAAACTATAGGACTGCACCCCAGTCCGAGGTCAGTTGACTTGGTGAATAGTCCAAATGATGGAAGCAGGCATTCGATTCGCACAAAAGTACCGTAGCTCACATTGGGTGACTGTACTGCAGTGGCTACTCTACTGAGTACCAACGTATACCTTGAGATTTGAAGTAAAAGGGCTCCGGGGTCATATTAAGCCACGACCTGAGGACGACTAAAAGTCTAATACACTTGCAGCTGAGGCTTTGCTGAGGTGTAGTCGCCTAGTAAGACATTCAACACTGGTGAAAATGTTTGGGATTTTATACCCCACCTATATAAAGTCCCACTTAGAGTTCTGAATCCGGACAACCATCATACGCTTTGTGGGGGAATCTGACACGTTAGAAGAGGCCCAAACGGTAGGCACTAAGTCAGTGACAGATCTTGTCCATCTCCTCCTTGAAGAGTTATTGGAAAAGCCAAACTTTTTTATTGTCTTAGCGTAGGTGAAAAGGAGGTTTAATTTCGGCATCTTGCATTTTAAAGAATGGCCCAGGTATTCAGCCACGAAACCTCCTTGCTCCCTCCCTACCTGTTAGCCCTAGGGACGGCCATAAAAGAATATCACAGTTGCAGTCGACTCATCTTCGAGTAGAGTTCACGTCACCACACAGAGTGGTCAACAACTTTAACTTACTGCCTGAACAAGTGCTGGTAGCTCCTTCGATCCATGAATCCAAGAAGAAACGAGGTTCCCACAGAGAAAACCAGTCCAATGATTAACACCAACTGCTTAGCCCACTGTCCTTACAACTGAAGATTGGTTAACCATTCGGAGGATGAAGCAGTGAAACTCCTTATTGAATGCCTTATGTTGAAATTTTGTAGTCAGATTGAGGCTTAAATCACGAGAAATCTTACACCATACCTAGATCACGATTTTTTCAGTTCTGAAAACTGTCATTTATTTAGATGCACTATTAACAGTCACTTTTGCAAGGTTAGTTGTATTACGCGGGTTTTATGGACCGAGTGGTAATATTTAGCATATTTTTCTTGTCGGGTTTTTGTGTAACATGTACCAACAATCTACCATGTGCTGCAAATTACTGGCCAAAATTTTAGGAAACGCTTTTGGATCTTTTCTCACTATCTGTCTTGGATGACTACACCAAAAGCAGTTCAAAAATCATCAGAAAACTGACTGAAGGAATTATTCACTGGTCTTTAGATGTGATACTTACATATATTTATGCATATGCATACGTTTGTTTATACATATCGTATTCATGTATGCGTCTAGACCTGTAAAAAAGCTCACTGGTTATGTCTGTATTTCGAAAGAGTCATTCTTTTACAAGGCCATCAATATGACTGAACTAAGGGAAAAACCTCACTATGATCCCTTAGAGATCCTTAATCTGTGTCTTGTAATTCGTAGACTGATTAGGAGGAGTATGGTAATGATGTTTCGTATTGTCCACACTCCTTGACATGCAAACGGAGCACTCAGTTTAAAATCAGAAGCAACACTTGATGGGTCGCCCTCCAAGAGTAGAACACTAAAAAGCAAGAAATAAGATCCGTGTTAAATCTTGCAACCGAAGTAAGTAAGTCGTAAGTTCCCTACCTGAGGAAGTAACGAGTCCTTGGCAGGATACTTTTAGAAAGAGGGCAGATATCTATTCATAATGTGGTACAGAAAGTGTGTATTTTAAAGGCTTCTTCTTTTATTCTAGACCACCGGTATCACAAGATATAAAAGGATAGATATCTCAACTAACCTCTTTTATTTCCTGTCTCAGGACTAAGAAAAGCACTATATTTTCCACATGAAAAACGTCTCTGAGTGCTACAGGCATAAAACCTAAGAGATTTCCAATTCCTGAATTCTGTTAAACAAAGTTTGAAGTGTTAATTCCCAGGATCTCCCTAGTAGTGATTACAGCAAACTAATAGAATAGGGGGCTTTCCATTTGTGGTGGAGGGGGGGCATTTGTGTGGCAGGAAACAGGGAGCTAACAAGCGAATTTATTAGAGATTTGACCGCCTGTTAGCCCTCTATTTCGCCCGTTTCCGACTTTTGTATACCCACAAGTTACTTAGAGTCGGACGCACTATGTGGTCAGTTCTTCATCCAGTTCCAAAACATCCGGTGCAAGCTTATGTCATCGTCCAGTAATTTCTGTTTGGTATTTGAACCCTCTGAAATACAAAGAGTTGTTTAGAGTTTTAGGACTCATCAGTTCTTATTTTTGTTGCCGTTTACCCCCACATGCCATGGAGGTTGTGGAACTAACACCCAACAACAGCGAATATTTTCCTGTTGATGTTATCTGTCGCTATTCCGGATGTTTTCTTACAATTCAGCTATGTGATGAACTATACGGACATACCTTTGTTCGTTTCATGCGAGACAGAATAGGATGTGTCATTTATCGTAGTCTCACCTATCTGAAACAGTTTGTTGGCTAGATTAAAGCCTACGAGTGATTCCAATCCCGTTTTGCAGCCATCTTTTATGCTTTCTACAAATGCATTTTACACGTGAGAATACTGAAAAAATAACGGCAATTTAATTTCATTGACTACAAGCTTTCAAAATTGCTCATTTGGTGCATCCAAGCTGTGGTGTTTATACTCTTCCAAACTTTCTACTGGGAATGCCACTCTCTTCACACTGGAATTTGTCAAATTAAAATCTTCCTTTCTTTCGTTCAATGTCACGGGGACTTACACAAGAAGTAAGGGATCTCTTTTTGTAAGCCTACCAGAAGCGTATTAATTTATGAGGTTCTTGTTAGTGACAACAGAAATAACCTGATATCATTTGTTTGTCATTGCGAGAATTCCTCTAATTTAGAGTTATTTCAAGTGTCTGCTTCAGTGTTATCCCTAGTGAAGAATTTGACAGGTTGGTTGGAGAGCTGCTTAAGGGTTATAGACTAATACAAACAACTTATGTTACCGGTATGATACACAATGGCTGATTAGGCTCTCTGGGGAAGAATTCAGTAGTGAAATCACGATCAATTTTTACCCTCAGAAACAATGAAGATGAAAAATGAAATGCACTCAGTACCCCTGTGCACATTCATGCAGCAAGTAATAAACCACACCTATTGTGTGAGGGCTGATTATGCTACCTGGCTGCCCAGACCTCGTTAGGTGAGGTGGCGTTCGAATCCATGACCCATTGGCTGAGAGTCAACTACCTGAACCAATGAGCCACAGCTCCTGAGAAAAGCGATTGCCATAATCAGGTTGTGAAAAACTAGTAAAGCGTTTGAGATCTTGAGGTTGTAGGGGATATTACAAATACTTAATTCGAGTTTCTGTTAGTTTGACCAGAGATCACTACTCTAGTAATTGTTCGGGACTTACCAGTTTGTTTTGTAAGCCTACGCGTTTAACTTCTAACCTTAACCCCAGTTAGTCACCAGTCTTACGAAGCTTCTAATAACATTCCACGTCCTCGCAAGAAGTATCACTTTTAAAATAAGTGATCTCCTTATCAACATACAAGGACTCACTTCCTTGGCATATTTCTTTGCTTTGCACAACAATTATGTCCAAATCTTGTTTTCGAACATCAGGAAATTTGGATTCTGAAAGTTTAAAAAACAGTACACAATGGTTCAATGTGTACACACAACTAGGCGTTAGAAAGCGAAACAGTTATGCTCATAAGTTATATTTGAAGAGTTTTTTGCTGTGTATAGTGGTTTATCAATATTCTTATAGACTTCTGCCTTTTCGACATGGTGGAGACCGTCATTCATGAAGTGAAGTCACCTTGAAACACCGGATTTTGGTGGCTTGGACATGTGTCATAAATACTGCTTTAGTGGCTCTCATACTGCTCACTGTTTGTTTACACTAGGTGTGGTTGGAAAAGGCTGAGAAACGGTCAACGTATAACATGGCGTCCTTTCAGCACTCACATGGAACCTGGATTTCCCACATAGTGGTTAAAGTTGCCATACCTCATATCAGCATGTCAAGGTAGTACGCACCGAAATGAAACCCAGATCAAGAAATAAACTAGTCAGTGGTAGGAGGTTGTAAAAATAAAATCTAAAGGAATAAAAGAATCATGATAAAGCTCGGGATGATGATTAAAATGAGGGTAATATCTGGCTGCGTCCGCGCCGTTGCCGTCAATTCTGAGTTATCACCTAGGGTCTCCAACCACTGGTTTGTGTTATCACACAGACCCCAACTGAGAAGTTCACATTTCCCTATACGGTTCAGACCAACAGTCAAAGACTACATGGACTGGTGCCACGTTCCAGTTTGATCACCCTTAGCATTTTGTCAGTTTTAAGCCACTTTAGCTAGAAGTGTGCAACAGAGCAGATGGTGACTAGGCATGCATAACACAACTGAGTCGATAAAGGTTCACAACCTCACCAACTGACTTTCCTCTTCTACCTAAAACTCTACACCTGATTTCTACGTGAATGACGTGATTGGAGCACAACACGACGTATGCCACGGAGAAGACAATGATGGAATACCTGTAGGCTTCTCATGAAGAACGAGAGCAACTCAAATGTCGAGAAAAAAAGAAATTTACTCAGTAACCTTGTGCACATTCTTGCAGTAGGCAGTGAGTTACATCTGTTGTATGAGAGCTAACGATATTACCTGGTTGCTCGAACCCTGATGGGTGGAAGTGCTAGGACGTGCGAGCCGTTTGGTTAAAAATCGACTGTCTGAACCAATGAGCCATATCCCCGAATCACTTACTTATTGGGATATATCGTTCTATTTTCAGGGGAACAAACATTCTGGCCTGCGGCAACACGGCTGTGTGCTAAGTGGTGGTAATGCTTCACCGTGTGTATTCAGGTATATAGGTCCCTCAAAACTTGTGTTTTGCATCAATGTTGAATCTCGTACGCGGTATCACTTTTCATGCTGAGGCTGTTTTGATGTTCCGATTAAATTCAGTTGCGTCGATTGTGATTCCATACAAAATGAGTCTATCTAATGTGGAACAGTGATACAATTACTTACTGGTTATTCATACTATGCACTGTAACGGGGAGACTACCGTTATGCATTACAGTTATTTTGATCGTAGTAAATATTTAATCTGTCCATATATCATTCGATCGGGAGGTTCTTAAGCACGGGTTCGCTTGTAAATGCCAATCACGTCAGTTTTCCCTAATAAAAGGTAACGTTCGACTCCGTATACCCAGATGTCTTCAGGAAATGTGAGGTTACGAGAACAGTTTTGGGCAAATAACTAGCGCTTATCAAAGTATTTCAATTAGTCAGACGTGTGAATGTTTACAGCGTTGTCATCTGAGGTGACGATGACCGCTGCGACCTACGGGTGTTCGCTTACAGTATTTCTGCTTAAATCAGTTATTGGTGTATTGATATGAAAATACTTGTCACCTGCTTTTCAGAAATTGACTTAAAATTCGTGTAACACGTAGTTAAATTATGGTACGCTTAAGATGGAGTCCTTTTGGGCAAAGACTACAAAAATACAGAGAGTTCTGAAGGCCTTTAGTGAAAGTCTTGATATATTCAGAATACCTTACGCCTGTATAATGTAAGATAAAGTTGTAAAACTGATCTGTATCAACTCCTAGTCCAAAGAGAGAAAGTAAACTACTGGAATACGTTGGTCGATTAACGTATGTATGAAGTTACGTTAGTGCAAATGGAATGACTAGTGGTGAAATCTTGAGACTAGTACGAAAGGTCTTTCTAGCATTTTCCGAAGTGCGCTATCTATGTGGCCGGCTTGATATTTTATAACTTGATAGAAGACGAATGAACTACGCAGTAGCCAACTTTGCCCTTCCCTACGTTTGAGAGACAATCGATAAAAGTAGAAATGGGGAGATTACAGTTTTTTGATAGATACATTTGTATTTACAGCACACAGGAGAACTACAGTTAACATTGTTGATATTGGGTACAGAATGTTTGATAAGGAAGGTAAGTTAGTTGATGTGGCTGAAATTCTTCACCCACTGAGGTGTCAACACCTCAGGATTTCTGTTTGGCCTCTTGTATAGTAGAGTTGAAGGGCATCGAAAGGTTTCAGGTGTTTAACCACCACTATCTTCGTAGCACTGGTTACGTCTTGTACAGCCACCCTTCTGGAAACAGTGGTTCGTTGTAGAGTCTTAGATAAAAGGCCAGTCATTTGGTACAGTTTTCAACCTTTATCAACTAATGCTACTTGGAGATATGTCACGTATGCATAGTCACCGTCTACCATGATTTTCTACTTTAGTCGAGGTACAGTTAGGTTGAAGAAAGCTAAGCGAGGAGACTAAAACGTGAAATTACTGACTGTTGGTCTGAATCACACAGGTTTATACACAATTCCAGGTTGGAATCCAAGTGACAACCGTAACTAATGTTTTGAGTCTATTGATGATGTGCTTCATAATGGATCTCACTGCCAAAAATACATCCACAACTTATCTTCATTTTGACGCTTATGTCGCTTTTCGTAATTGCTTTGACCACTCCTCTCTTCAGCTTCCGGCTTTCTATAACATTTTTTTTACATTCGTTCCATTGACTTTTATCTTGATTTGGCGACATGATATGGCAACTTGGATTGTTACAGGTTTCAGGTGTTTGACCACCATCGCCTTCATAGTATAAGCCGTATTCCGTGGTGTCACCACGTCAGCAACACAAAAGTCATCGACTGAGATGGTTGGGACATGTGTTACCTCTGCCTAGTCGCGGTCTGCCTCGTCACACAATATTGGGTTTAGTAGGTTCAGACTGGAGAAAGGCTCGAGGCGGCCAGACTAAAGCGGCATCAATATATGAAGTCTTTGACTGTTGGTTTAAGCCATGTGAGGCGATGCAGACTAGGTGGTTTGGATCCGCGGGACAAGAGGAACCAGTGGTTGGAAATTCTAGGTGATATGACTGAGAACCAATGTCAGCGGCGCGGATGTATACACACATCATGCTAACACTATACCGAATCTCACCATTTTCTCATTCTTCCTTTCTTTCTTTTAGTACTTTATATTTCTTTTGGCTGAATTTCCTTTTCTTTATCTTCCATTTCACTGCCTTTTTATTTGTTGTACTGATGTGAGCTGTGGCAACTCTGACCGTTACACAGTAATGCCTGGTCCTATGTTGGTTTGGATCGATGAATGGGTGGATTATTACACAGATCTGCCATTCCCTATTAATATTGACTGATCTGTTGCTCACACTGATGCACCGCTTATCTCTTCTCCTACCGTCAGTTGAAATAAGACTAAGCCAGAAGAAAGCTAAGTGCGACCAGACCAATCAATGAAGTCTCTGATTGTTGGTCTGAGTCATTCAAAGAAGTGTAAGCTGTCTGGTTGTTTGGAGTCGTTGAGGTGTTAAACACCACTCGTTGATATTTTATGCTGATTGAGTTGATAAGTATTTCTCTAGAACCGTATCATACTTATTGCTTGGGGGTTTAAGTTCCTCCTGATGTTAGTATATATATATATATATATATATATATATATATATATATATATATATATATATATATATATATATATATATATATACTTAGCGCCTTATCAAAAGCATTTCCAACAAACTACAGACACAGATATACACCATCAATACCTGCCACCTACGCTCACTCAACTCGATACTGATACTAAAGATCCGATGGCCAGAATAATAGGAATAAACGACAAGGAACTCTGGCTGGCTGGCTGGTTGACAACGAACCAACGAAGCAAGAACCCATAGCCAAACAAATATGCAGCAGAAGAAAGTGGAGATGGATTAAACTGGATATACACTGAGAAGACCATTTGGGGACATCACGCGTCAGGTCAGGTCAGGTCAGGCCAGTTCAAGTCCTCGAGTCAAACCCACAGGGAGAGGGAGGGGAAACGACGAGTTGGGCTTCTGAACTGAGGGTGACATGGAGGAGATGGTGTGAGGAAGAAATGAAAGCTTCTGGACAGTGGTGGAGCTAGGCTAGGAAGACTTCAGAGAAGAGAGTGAAATGGTGATGTGCTACTGAGGCGGTCTGTTCCACTAGGAACTCAAACGACAAATAATGACAACAATGATCATTTGGCGTTAACCTAATCTAGCCTTGAAAAGCATTCAGTACTTGGATCATGAATTTATTAAAGTTGGATCGCTACTTCAGTGTGACTATTTATTCTATGTTATTTGATGAACAGCATGCATACTAGCCTACACCATCCTTTACGTCTATTCGTCTTTTTCAGATCTTGTCATTATGAACCATTAGTGTTTACTGTCCCTGCTTTCAATAGTTTCATTCTTCCTCAAGTGTCTCCATAATGACTACCTTGGAAGTAGTAAGAATTTTGTGGAGTCTTTTGCTAACACTGGCATTATTCACAACAATTAATGCTTCCGATTGCACCAGTTTCAAACATGAATGGATGAAGTTGAGATATACTCTACTAACAGGAATTCATAGTTCAACTATTAATGGTAAGGTATATTGATCCTTAATTTTTATACTTCTGAGTTCCAACGTCTAACATTTGTCCTGTTACCGGTACTTCTTGTTGTGATATTAATATGGAACATGAAATGTACACAGTTGGCCAGCGTCAGTTAATAAAAAAATGTAATTCATGGCTACAAATCGCTCGAAAGATGAGCAATGATAGCATCGCACTAGAATGTAAGTTCATTTCGTATTCTGTTGATTACACTTGTAAGGTGAAGTCGAAAACAGCCTAGAATATCCTTTGAGTATATAGTAAAAATTGTTTACTGAGAACATATGTATTGTTTTTTGAAAGATACTTTGTGTTCATACATTGAACTGCATATGCTTAATTAGGAAAATGTTTAAAATATATTTGTGTACGTTGGTTTGTGTTCACTCAGTATGATGGTAAATCGAGACTGCAGGTATCGTATCTCATTTTCATGGTTATTTCTTTTCACTTTTCATTTTTCTCCTACTGTGTAGAGAAAAGCACTGAGTCACTTAAAATTATTTGGAGAATATCTTTTATTATAAGCGGCAATTGAAAACTGGTTGGTGATAAAAACTGAATGAATCTTTATTGCCTATAGTTAATAGTGACATAACTCATTGTAAACTCATTAAAACAAATGATTGTATCCATGATGACTATGAAAAAAATATTGTGTCATCTCTCAAGTCCTCTTCTACATGCAAATAAAAATTTAAAAAGCACACTTAGACGATTTGAAATTCAAGAGCTATCATTAAATCAAGCATAGTGTATTTTCTCATCAACGCTGCTCTTATAACTGAGGCTTAATTATTTATAAACCTTGGATGAGTGCCAGAGGACTTGCCTTTCTCTACATCACTCAGTTAGTAAAACAGGATTTCACACAAACTACATATTGCCTACCTCTGTAACTAAAGAAAACTAGACGTTATTTTACTATAAAGGACCACTTGAAAACAAGCTGCTTGATGACGACTTCAAGTTTATTTTGAATGTTTTCATAACCGAATTTACTCTTCCTTATAATTTCTTCAGAATAGCTGGTAAAAGCCAAATAACTTGAATTATTACTAAGAGTCGTTGTTTATTTAAAACGTTTTCTGCATCTGCTTGCTGTCTGTTATCCCTTAGGCATGGATTTTCGAATTTAAACATTGAATCGTAGGCTATATTTTTCAGTTCAAACACCTCTCCACATAACAAGGTTTGGGCAGTTAGATAGTATCATCAGCCCTCATGCATCAGATGTGGCTCATTGTCTACTATACGAGTGTGCGAAAGGTTGTTGAGCGGGTTCCATTGTTAGCTTATATGGAAGCATCTTTTTTCTGGTCAATTCACATAGCAGTGAACGAGTTTACCATTAACATGGTAAGAGAATAGAAAGATACAGAAGCTTATACCCTGGTTCCAGTCATAATTTTCAAATTTGCTAGAAATTTGTATGATCGATTGTTCATTATAGTGAAGAAATCGATCTTATTATTCCATGTTATAGCATACTTTTAGATGGATCTTTTCTAATCGTCAAGAGTTTCACAAAATCAACTGGGAGAGATTCAACAAAAATTATTCACAGCACTCCTCAAGTATAATGGAATCGCCGTATGAACAATGTCTAGATTAGGCAAAGAAGAAAAGTCATCTCTTTTCTTGACGTCCATTGTTAGCCGAAATAGGAATAGATTGTAGGAAGGCTTTTAGGGTGGTCACACCAAGACGGGACACTAGTCGATGTAGTCTCCTACTATTTTGTCTGAATCATGTTGGCAGATTTAAACTATCTGCCTGGGGTTCCCGAAACGGTGAGAATCAGTGGAGGAGAACTTTTGGTGACATGGCTGGAAATCGGGCGCAGATATATAAACTCTTCGATGTCTTTTGAAGCTTGAATATTTGCACTGACCTTTATCTTCGAATTGCTTATTCTCTCACACAACTTTTTCTACTTTGATATCAGTGTTTTTCTATCCACTTGTTTTTGTATACTACTATGAAGTGTGGCAACTTGAACCAATGCACCTGTCTTCATTGTGTATCTATCTGTCGATCATCGAATGAAATCCAGTATAAATGAACACAAGTTTTGATAGTTCTACTTTTTCTACCCAGTGGATACTATTCTAATCATTTTATTAATAATTTAAGGTAGCTGGCAAACTACAAACAAACATTGTGTTGTTATCTGTTCGGAAAAGAGTTTTCAAACTTAATATTCTTAGGTGGAGAATGTAAAATCATACCACGTATAGTGTTTCTGTACAAGTAGAGGAATGATAGATATGATATTTACACCCCATTCAAATGAGTGGCGGGGAGGGGGGGGGGTAAATAAGGTAGAGATCCTTGTGCTTTCATGAGATGATCATGTCTAACATTCAAGAGGAAAATCTGTTTATTTCTCAGTGAACGCCAGTTGCGTGCAAAATTATATGTTGCGTTTACCGTGTTTTTACCTTTGTAGTTTTGTTCCATAACCATAAATTAGTTAGCTGTTGGTCAGTTGTCTTGTCCCTTATTTCACTTTGGGGTGTAGACTACTGCTATGGTTATCACTGATTGTGATAAAGTTCTTAGGTAGTGTGGTCTGTTTTTGATGTTGAGCAACGTATGTACTTCGTTAGTCGACCGACTGTCTGTAAACTTATAAATGTCTAATTAAATGTTCATTGGTGATCTATTTTGAGGTGTAGTAAGTAATCAAAGTTTTGATGGCATGTCGTGATATGAAGATCGAATAAAGTCTTTTCTGAGTATGGATGCTAAGCATTAAGAGTGGGTGAGAGTTGTGTTACGCCTTGAGTCGATTACAGTTGGAAGGTATGCACAGATTTATGAAGTGCTTACCAAGATGCTTTATGTCTCTTTGTTCGATCTGGCATGGAGTCTGAAGTGTACACTACTGATGAGATCCAAACTGGAATGAGGTGACGTTGCAGTTCTTCATGGTTTCCAGTACTTCTCTATGCCGTATCAGGGGACTATGAAAATCATGTTTGAATTTGGGGTTGAGCAAACGTACACATCGTTAAGGACAGCACTATAATGCATTGCATTCAGTTAAAGAGTCATCAGTAGGACTCAATGGATATTTCAGATCCCACTACTAACCGTCACCAAACGTATGACGCAATTGCGGCTTATTTTTCCGGTTCTAGTAGCCCTTAGCGAATGTAATATTCATGATAAAACATGTTGTGTCACTGACTGTTTACCCTCAACACATTACTTACCCTTATACTCTTTATCTTTCAGACATGTTATATTTTATAGCGATAAATAATATCTAAGATTTTAAAATTAAGTGGGGTTTGTAAGGTTTCTGTCCTCTTGTTTGTGATCTGTACGCTTATTTCTGTAGTATAAAACCAACTGTACATTGTGAAGATATTTAGTTCTTGGCACTGTTGAAAAACAGCGGTGTGTATTCAAGCCACTTTCTGATTGACTAAGCCTACAAACGTTTATTGACCCTCCAGTCACTTTCAATCAATGTGCATCAGAAAATTTGATCTTAACTCAGCATTTCGGTTGACGTTATTTCAAGCTTTGTAAATAACTACACGATGATTCCAATTACTCGCTATAAAAGGCGATTCCACTAATTAATACACTATAAATTCGTTTGATATTAAATGTTAGTGTTCTGTTCTACTATTATGGATATTACTTGCGTTCGAGTTGTCTACAAACGTTTTGAGTATCTTTTCTTCTTGGTCGCTTATTTCTTTGATACTATAAACTGCACCTAATTGAACCATCTTTAACATATTTATTTTCTATTTAGCAATTTTTCAAATGGATTTACAAGAAGCTAAAGGACGATTACATCAATTTTTCAGTCGAATTTATGGCTACAATTATAAACTGCACAGAAACTTTTTCTTTGGATTTTTCACTGATTTGGAGAAGTATATGGCCGGTCAAAGAGGTCAATTGGGTTCGTTAATTAAAAACTTCTTCAGTCAGCTTCGTGACAGTATAGTTAGTTTAATTGAGAGGTCTGGACAAGTTAGTTCTAACCCACCATTCGGTAACCCCAGTTCAACATCATCTAGTGCTGGTTCGCTTGGTAACAATGCTCCTGGTGTTGGAGGAATTGATGAAGCTGGTGAATCTCGTCGTATTCGTTGTTTATCTGATAAGGTTGCACAATTACAACCATTTGACGATGTAGATGTTCGTTTACATGCTCGTATGCTGGAAGCTTACCCACCTGCTCGTATGTTGGTCAATGTTTTATCCGTCACCAGCAAATTATTACATCATTTTGTTGATCAGGTGCGTGATTCTATTGCTTAGTGTATATTTTCGACACACCATTGCGCACTCCAGTGCCTGTTGTATATCATTAACCAGGAATTCCTACATTTACTAACTACAATCGAAGAGAGCATAACGGTATGAAAATCACCCTGTTTAACTCCAAACTGGTATTTCAACTTTGGAAAAACTTTCAGTTAATTATTATTTCCCTACAAGCGACACTCAAATTCCAGTTAATCTAAATAAACAAATCTTTAAACGTGTGTACTTATTACGCAACTCCGTAAACCATCTACTATGACTTCACATTGACTGTAGAGTATGGATTATCTAGGTTGTATTGTTTTCTCTGAGCTCAGTTGTTTAATCATGAAGCCTTCATCGTCCTCCTAGACAACATCATCACCACTAACTTCAGTATAAAAAGACCTACAAATATCTCTCCGTCACTGATTTACCAGCTTGACCTGACGAACTGCTTTGTGACTGCTTGTTTCCTTTGGTTGCTGTGTCATTGACTGACTGCATAGATTTCCTGTTGGTTGTTCCTCTGTTTCACCACTCACCTTTCTGTCGTTTTTCATTTTATCATTGATTGATAGATTGGGTCTATGTGTATACATCTATTGATTGCTCACTGACTGACTGAATGACTGACGTGAATGCCAAGCTTCTAGGAATTCTCTGATATTCTTCTGTGTGTTTCCTCTCTCCATCCGACATTTTTACATTGTCAAAATTTAATCCATATCCATAATTATCTCTGATTACTGAGACCACTTGGAATTGGTGTGGACTCATAAATTAACAAATTGTCTCCAAACACTATTTTCCAGCCAGACCAAAGGAAGCAACAACCAAAGAAGACAAACCCAATATCATTTACTAAATCAACTACAACAACTGTGGTCAACACTACATTGGACAAAGTGGTCACCCTCTTCGTCTTCGTATTCGTCTACATTAACACCAATTGGTTATTAGACGTCACATACAATATTTCATCACTCATTTCAATATACGTGGATGATTGTGGACATGAATTGAATTTTGACAATGTAGAAATCTTGGATGGAGAGAGGGGACATACAGAAGAATATCAGAGAATTCCTAGAAGCTTGGCATTCACATCAATCAATCAATCAGTCAGTCAGTCAGCAATCAATGAGAAGAATGATAAATGACAGAAAGGTCAGAGGTGAAATAGAGGAACAGCCAACAGCAAAACCTATGCAGTTAGTCACTGACACAACAATCAAAGGAAATAATCAATTCGTCAGGTCAAGCTGGTAAATCAGTCACGGAGGGATATTGATAGGTCAGTTTATACTGAAGTTAGTAGTGGTGATGTTGTCTAGGAGGACGATGAAAGCTCCAAGATTAAACAACCCATCTCAGAGAACACAATAAAAGTAAAACAGTCCACCTGAGCTACAAATATTCTCCACCACTTTGGGTTGTCACATTAAAATTTAGATCAATTTCTGTTAATATTAAAGTTATTATTTATGTTTTCTATCATAGGATAACCTGGAAAAGTTGTAAAATGTATAAACAAACTCTTTCATGTGAAATATTGCTGTCGCGTTTGACTCCTCTTTAGAGATTCAGGTCTGTGGTTTTTGTTTCTCAATCATCAGGAATAATAATCAACCTATCCTCATGATAAATACAATGTAAACAAGTCATCAAGTCTCGGTATGACTAACTTGACAAAACCCTATACTAAACGAAAAAAGATGAGTATCAGGTCATAAAGGGAAGAAAATTTGTTTTCGTCGAATTCATCTATTAAAGCAGTAAAAATATCGGTAACAACAAGCTATCATTAGTCGATAGGATCAATTGCTTATTGTGATGATTAAGCGTAGAATAAAACTATGGTTTTAATGATAAAGAAAGTTTACGCAACAGTTCATTATGAATGAGACACACAGTCAAAGAAGCGATTGAACATCTGCATACAGGGATCCGGTTTGAATTGATGAGTTACCGGTGTCTCTACCGTGCAAAGGACACAAAATCCTGCCTTTGAACTGTTCAATTTGAACTCTAAGGAAAACTGGTGGAAATAATAAGTGGCCAGAATTGACAGCGACGACTATCCAAGATAATGCTTGCACAGACGTTCAATGAAGCTACTTACTTTTTATTAACTAGTTGATTTCTGAACAGACGCAATGAGAAATATGAGGTGTACTCACAGTTTTCAAATGGCGTTTCAATATTTCATTCGGTTGGAGGCAGCTGGCAGGAAACTCTAGACCTGTTTCATACTTGTTGTCACTCATTAGCAGCCTCAAAGAGATAGATTCCCTTCAATATACTCATCTGTTGGTCCCACTTGATCAGTGAGATATTTAGTTGGAGGAGTATTCATGCATAAAAAAACGCATGTACAGAGAAGGCAGAGGTGATGAAGATACTGAACCAACAACAGCATTAGCAACAAGCACCAATCACTATTAACGGCAGAAACCTAAAGGAAGTTGTCTCTCACCTACATTTGCCTAGGCAGCCTCGTTCCAACTACAGGCGGTGGCACAGACGAGGACGTCAGAGGCAGGATCGGAAAGACGTCAACACAGGCTTTCATTAATCTGAAATCAGTGTGGGGAGATCTACTGCACTCAGCACAAAGAATAAGATCCGGATTTTCAACACCAATTCAGTCAAGTCCAGTGCTTCTATGTAGTTCAGAGACTTGGCGTGTCACGAAAAGCACTTCCAACAAACTACAGACATTCATCAACAGCCGCCGCCTACGCTGGTTCGATACTGAAGCTGAGATGGCCAGAATAATAAGAATAAGCAACAAGGAAATCTGTGAACGAACCAACTAAGAACCTATCACCCAACAAATATGTAGAAAGAAGTGGAGATGGATTTGGCATACACTGAGAAGACCGATTGGGGACATCGCGCGTCAGACCAGGCCAGGCTGTCGAGTGGAATCCAAATGGGAAACGACGAGCTGGGCGTCGGAGGCGAGGGTGACATGGAGAAAATCATGTAATAAAGAAATTGAAGCTTGTGGGCAGTCGTGGCGCCAGGTTCAAAAGACTACAGAGAACAGAGTGCAATGGAGGCGTGCTGTTGAAGCCCTATGTTCCACTAGGAACCCAAAGGAAAAATAATAAATAATAGTAATAATAGTGTTCTATTTAGAACCATCTATTCAGCTGTATTGTGCTGTAGACTGCTTTATCAGAGGTAAATCTGCAAGGAAGGAACTTTCAGCTAAATATTCTACATCCACTTTGAACTAAATTTCTGCTTAATTTTATATTTTGTTGTTATGTAGGTAGCATTTTCGAATAAATATATATGTTATACTAGCAACTTTCTGTAACCACCAGTACTTGTCGATTTTGGCCTTGTTGTCCATTGCTTGTCTAGCCGTTGAAGATTATTTTTGCAGTTTTCTTTTTCTTACGTGGTATTTATTCAATAAATAAACCAGTAAAAGCAATAACTATACATTTAGGCAACAAAAAGCATGTAGATGTAGGCAGCAATAGGAGATTAACTGAATTGTATGTGGTCTTATTTTGTCATGTGCGTTTATCAGCTGAATATATATATATATATATATATATATATATATATATATATATATATATATATATATATATATAATGGTACTCCTTACACTTCTATCACTAAACGATACATTTTTTTTCGCGTATGATTTTGATAAAGATTTTGTGTGCATTGTTTTCTCTGTTCATCATCATAATTAGTCGTAAACAGCATGTTACAAACAAATTGCTTTCATTTTAGTTCATGGAATATATAATAATAATAATAATAATAATAATAATAATTCGTGATAAATGCTGAGATAGAAAAAAAATCTTTCATCCGCCTTTTTTCCATGCTTTTTTTACAACTGCTAGCATTTCGTATCCAGTTAAATAATATATAATCAAGTTGTGGGTGTATATGTCTATGCGCTACATATTTCCTCTTGACATAGTGTGTTTTGTTTTCGTCTTATATCGTTCTGTGGAGATAAGGAATAAATGTTTGCTTAATCAATGGATATGATAAACTTCAAAGACATGCAATAGAATAGAAAGGGAATTCTGTTTCAACTTTCTTTGATAGTAAAAAAAATATTATATACTGCTTCAGAAAGTTACTAAATCGAGAGGAATTATCAGAATATTATGAGCCACTGTAGTTATGGGATAAAATTAACCTTTTTTTTTGTAGTACAGTTGTTGAATCTGCGGCTCTTTGCTTTAAAGAGATGACCTTCAACCAATAAGCTATGGGTCTGAAACCCGTTCCACGTACCAAAGTTTGGGCAGCCAGACGGTTGTAGCATTATCCTTCATACAATAAGCGTAGCTCATTAAATACATTTCTATCCGATTCACCTGGTAGTACAATTTTTAACACAATTGAAGAGAAATCGAAGAAATAATAGAGTGGATTATTGTTATCCTCCTTCAGTTATTGTTGTTGCTCTTTTTAAAGCTAATATACTCGCTGCATCGTTGACTTTGCTTCAATAAAATGAAGGGATGAAGTATTCAGAAAATTGAAATTTCCTTCTTATCTTTCTTTATAAGGTTGTTACTCAATCTCAGTGTGTCTTGGGTATTACACGATATCGCTTCTGTGCTCTATGCAATGCGCAGTCACTATCCAATGTATGCCCTGACAGTTGTTCACGACTCTTATCCGGTTGTTTACGTGGTGATGGTCCAGATGAAGTACAGTTGGCGTTTATTTGGCCTAAATTGATTGGTAATTTTGCTTTAGATTCTATTTTCAGTATTTTGTTGAAGTTTACATAAAATTTGGGTGTTTCCCCTGAACTTATATTAGAAGCTGACTGAATATTATCACACAAAAGTGTATGAATTCGATTTTTAAAAGGTTATGACATATAGACAAAATCAGCGTAGGACATTGCATACACGTGCCTCGGCTCAAGTTACCATACTTCATAGTAGTACAGGTGGACAGAACAAGAGTGATACCCAAAGTAGACAAAGTTGTGTGGGACAATAAACAACCTGAAGATAAACGTTAGTGCAAATATTCGACCTTTAGAAGACGTCAAGGAGTGAATACATCTACTCCACTGTAATGGATTTTCAACCATATAACCAACAGTCCTCAACCACTGATTCCTATCGTCACGAAGACCCCAGCTAGGCAGTCTACGTCTCACAACACGACTCACACATCTTGGTTTGGAGAACCTCAACCCTCTTCCAACTTCCCCTAGCATCACACATTGAGGTAGGTGGTAGATAGGCATATGCATGCAACACATGTGCATGCCATCTCAGTCAACCTCATCAGTTGACTTGTCTGTCTTGTCTAGTACCCTTCAACTGGCCTCAATGTTGCTTACATAGTGATTCCAACAAACTCGAGCAATGCTACGATGACACCAATGATCGAAACCTTTAAACCACCATGTCTCACAGTCGTATAACTGTAGAGAACGGACTGCAGTGGCGCAGTATATTCGTCCTTCGGTAGGTAGTCAGGCGTCCGGCTAGTCGGTGCCACAGACATCACAAGCTGGTAAATGCCAAACGGGCCTTTTGTTATCTATATCATCTGCAAATTTCAGTTGTATTGCAGACCTTTCTTGCACTGATCTAACACATTCCAATGATATCCTGTTCTCAGTTATTTTAAATTTGGGGCCTTGAATATATTTTGTTTATCTCCAACACTGTATTTCACTGTTGATTTCTGATCGAAAACATGTGTGAATTTCTGCACGTGAAAAACATGACCTGTTTTCAAATTCTTCTTATAAATATTGAAAAGTGTTTGATTGACTGTGGTATTTATCGCTACAACAAAATTTGATATATGCCAATACTGTCTCGACTGTTGTGAGTTTACTACAATAGTGGTGGAACTTACATCAGTAACAAACTTTTACTCACATATATTTCAAGAGTTACACTGGATTATACAGGATTAGATTCCTAACAACCAATTCTGTAGTTTTTTAATGTGGATCGTGTTCCAGGTGGTCGTGGGTGTTTGTGTGCGCGGTAAAGTGAACGGGGCACCCGGGTCTGAACCCCGGACCTCTCAGTTTGCAGTTGACTGCTCTACCACTGAGCTATACTTTCACTGAGTACTACTTTTACTATTCATCCATATTTAATATTTGCTTATTCCACTTGGTTATGGTACAGTTAAACATATATGGTAGAAAGTTAGATCCATTTTTTTAGGCTTTCAGTTCCCATTCATAGGGCATAGTTTTCAATTAGCATTAAATCATACTTCTGTGAGCGTTTCGCTCGTATCGTTTAGAACTATTATCAGAAATATTCTATATTCATGAAGAATAACCACTTTTTTGCACATATGCTACACTGATGGATACTGAATTGCAAGTAACAAAAATACAGTTTTGCGCATTGTGTATAGTTACTTGTTATTAGTAGATGATAATTGTTTCTGTCCAGGCAGTTGGTTTGCTTCTCACTGTCATCTCACATCAAGTAAAAAAAGTGAGATTGTGTTGCCACTATACTGCTAATTGCCGTGCCATTAAGTTATACTTCATTCCCCTTCACTTCACTTACCTGGGAAGTTGGATCAGCCGTGATGGCTCAGTGGCCCATGAAATCTCTGTACAGAGACAAAAGATTCGGTTGGCTTCTGTCAACTTACGCTATCTGTGACACCTCCGCGATATCTGATTACCTATTCAGGGTCGAGTGTACTGTGCTGCAGTCCACTCTGTTTTACTACATGGCTATGAAACATGGGCGGTAAAGGTAGAAGACATGAGAAGGCTTCAGGCGTTTGACCACCGTTGCATTCCTAGCATGTACCGTGTCTCATGGCGTCATCGCGTTAGTAATCCAGAAGTCAGACGTGAAGTTTTAGGCAGGAGAGGTAAGACAGTTGATGAAGTTGTGAACCTTCCTTGACTGAGATGGTTGGGACATGTGTTACGTATGCCTAACCACCATCTGTCTCGTCACACAATGCTGGGCGAAGTATGTTCAGGCTGGGAAAATGCTCAGGGCGGCCAGACCAAAAGATACTGTCAGTGTATGACTGTTGGTTTGACCATGTGGGGCGATGCGGACTAGGCGGTTTGGGTCCGCGGAACATGAGAGACCAGTGGTTGGAGACTCTTGGTGGTATGGCTCACAACCGATGTCAGTGATGCATTTTAACCGCTATACTTAATCTCATCATCTTCTCATTCTTCCTCCCTCTCTTTTATTCCTCTGCGCTTCTTTTGACTGATTTTTCTTTTCTTCTTCACCTTACATTCTATTCCCTTGTTACTGATGTGGTGACGTGAGGTGTGGCAACTTGGACCGTTATCCAGTAATGGGTGGTCCCATCATGATTTTGATAATGCTGGTGATGATTTCAGTTCTCACGGAATAACCTCTAGATTGTTATTTAAAGCATTAAGTTTTTCGATTCTTCTTAAATTACGCTTCGCTTCTTGCCTTTTGGATGAAGATTACTACTTCAAAATGCATGCATATAACAAAACACTGCCACAATCAAGTCTAGTAGTACAACCATTCTGTAAGCTATACAATCATTTCTGTAAATACATTTGAATTAGTTAGTTCGCTCTTCTTGTATTTTGCTGGAAACTAACCTTCTTTCTTTCCTTACAAGTGAAATAAGAAGAAGCTGATCTGCTTTACTTTGGATTTCCTAATGTCGTTTTAATGAATGTACAACTGTGTTTTATAATATACTATATATATATATATATATATATATATATATATATATATATATATATATATATATATATATATATATATATATATATATATACAGTATATCAGTCTGTGATGAATGCCAACCTGTAATCAAATTGATTAATTATCAGAATTATTGCCTTCGTAAAAGCATGTAGACTTAAACGTGCTAAAAAAATATAGCCGAAGTCCTCCTTTCTCTGAATCATTTGGTTAGGTGACAGACACTCAAATTCTCCTCGTTAAACAGATTTGCGATGATCTGCAATTGAAGTGTTACTAAACACCATCATAATGTGTTCAAGTTTAGTTCTGTTTCAGGTATTATTTTCGTCGACTTGGTTCCCACTCTTTGTACACCCGTATCACTTTAATTTTAGTAGTTGGGTGTTGCATAAGTCATTGTTTCTGAATAAGACCCTCATTAGTTATTCATCGTATATCATGTGAATTGAAAGATGGTAATTACCAACGTAAGGTTTGGTTAAATACGTGAAGTCAAACAAGTCAGATTATTCGCCTCTCTAGTTCATGGATACTGTTTTGCATCACTTAAGTATTAATCTGATATTTTGTGTTATACTTTATCTTACTAATATTACTACAAATAACATTATTCAATCATTTAAAATATTATTTCTTCTTCATGTAGATGCTGTCATTATGGCAACTGAACGACTGGAACGATCATTTAACTTTCCTGCAGTCAATCGTAATCTTCAAATGGAAATATCTGAGGCAATTACCAGCTTACAAACACGTTATAGTGAAACAAAATCTAAGGTGAATTCAAATTTGTACTTATTAACTTTCATGTTTTTACATCATATCTTCTCTGTGTGTTTTTTTCCATACGGATTTTCTCGTATACCTGGTTTCTTGTACACTCACCTTATACTGATAATTAAAATGCATTTTTCAATTGTATTATATTCTCTAAGCTGAGTTGTTTAATCCTGGAGCTTTCATCGTCCTCCTAGACAACATCACCACTAACCTCAGTATAAACTGACCTATCAATATCCCTCCGTGACTGATTTACCAGCTTGACCTGACGAATTGATTATTTCCTTTGATTGTTGTGTCAGTGACTAACTGCATAGGTTTTGCTGTTGGCTGTTCCTCTATTTCACCTCTGACCTTTCTGTCATTTATCATTCTTCTCATTGATTGCTGACTGACTGACTGATTGATTGATTGATGTGAATGCCAAGCTTCTAGGAATTCTCTGATATTCTTCTGTATATCCCCTCTCTCCATCCAAGATTTCTACATTGTCAAAATTCAATTCATGTCCACAATCATCCACGTATATTGAAATGAGTGATGAAATGTTGTATGTGACGTCTAATAACCAATTGGTGTTAATGTAGACGAATACGAAGACGAAGAGGGTGACCACTTTGTCCAATGTAGTGTTGACCACAGTTGTTGTAGTTGATTTAGTAAATGATATTGGGTTTGTCTTCTTTGGTTGTTGCTTCCTTTGGTCTGGCTGGAAAATAGTGTTTGGAGACAATTTGTTAATTTATGAGTCCACACCAATTCCAAGTGGTCTCAGTAATCAGAGATAATTATGGATATGGATTAAATTTTGACAATGTAAAAATGTCGGATGGAGAGAGGAAACACACAGAAGAATATCAGAGAATTCCTAGAAGCTTGGCATTCACGTCAGTCATTCAGTCAGTCAGTGAGCAATCAATAGATGTATACACATAGACCCAATCTATCAATCAATGATAAAATGAAAAACGACAGAAAGGTGAGTGGTGAAACAGAGGAACAACCAACAGGAAATCTATGCAGTCAGTCAATGACACAGCAACCAAAGGAAACAAGCAGTCACAAAGCAGTTCGTCAGGTCAAGCTGGTAAATCAGTGACGGAGAGATATTTGTAGGTCTTTTTATACTGAAGTTAGTGGTGATGATGTTGTCTAGGAGGACGATGAAAGCTCCGCGGTTAAACAACAGCTCAGAGAACACAATGCACCCAAGATCACCCACCTGAGCCAGAAAATTTTTCATCGTTTCAATATGAATTTTATTTAAATTTACAGATGATGTGAGTTTAGTCAGTTATCGTGTTTATGGAGTGTCTACCTGTCCTTCTCTAATATTTGGTTATATTATGTCATAAATTATCAATAGAATTCAGCTAAAACTTTCATCCACTATGGGGATAATGTGAAACTGGTTGAGTTTTGACAAGTGGAATCTAGAAATTGAAGTTTCTTTAAATAACATTACTGTGAGTCTCGTTCATAAGACCATAGTTCACTTTTCTGTGCTGTTATGGATAACTGAGTATTTTCGACACTAAACGCTGAATAGTAGTTGAGGAAGGATTTGATTGATGAGATTGTAAATTTTTAGCGAAAGAAATAACTGGAATGTATCAAACACATAAGGTAGTTACCGTCTGTTTCATCTTACTTTGGTGGTTGGAATGTTACTGATGGAGTAGTTTCAGGGTGGTCGGACTAAGGCGGCGTGTTTGAACTTTAGGCTACTTCATTTTACGATGGAATATGGCCCATCAGATTTCTCCTTTCTGCATTGTTCTAGTCATTCAATTATGTCCTCTAATCGTACTATATACTCTCGTGAATTTTTAAACTCATTACAACTTATCACAACGCAAGAACACCATGATGAATGTCAACGGCTTCTCAAGCCTGTGACTATTCCGGAAATACTCAGCACAAAATGCACGTCTTTACCGAAGAAAGTTTATTAACTTCAGTCAGTCTTATTCACATACTGATACTGGGTGATGATTGAAGGTGAAATGGAAATTTGGACTGCGACCGGATTCGAACCAGCGACCACCGGGTTTCCGGCCCAATAATCTATTAACAGCTCAGTTGGTCCAAATTTTCATTTCTCATTCAATCATTATTGAGTACCAGTACTAGTCTACCAAATCACGGCTATCTCAGATAGTCAAAATGATTACCAACAAATGTTCATGGGAATATATGTATAATGATGCTGCAGGAAATGTTTTCACAACCTATATAATGATAATTTGGTTTGTCTAGATGGTTTAAAGTTTTGACAAAAGCAATGCTTCTCCAACAAGACCAATAACAAATTGGTCCACCTCCAACCATGTATGCTTTAGCGTCTCCGACTACAAAATTGACTGCATTACTATTAAATGTTTTAAACATTTGAGAAAATAGAAAGCATTTATTTCATTATGGACTGACATCAGTCCATGGTGATGGGTAGGTGGGTGATGGTCGTGCTATGTCGTGAACTGACAAAAGTTGGGAATACGGACCGTTGGATTCCTACCCAGTGGCTCAATGGTAACGTGCTGGCCGCAAAATCTGAAGATCCTGTGTTCGATCGGTGGCGGGGCGGGGTCATGGATGTCGACTGCTGAAGAGTTCCACACTAGTTGGACTAAACAACTATCCAGTGCTCCCAGGTTTTCAATGTTCCTCCAACTGATGTCAGTCCATGATGAATACCAACTTGAAATCAATAAATAAATCACCATAAACCCCCAGATCGAAGGAAACACTTACATAACAACTTTCGCTAATGAATTCGCTGAATTTCACTACTCTGATTCTGAATAACTCCTTGTCTATAGTCTATGGAGATTTTAGTTCTTGTTATTGAAGTTTGTATTTCATTGAGTCATGAAAATATGACTAACTTTTCTGCTCGTCTTGACAACACGCTATATTTGGTGATCGCAAATGGCTCTGGCTACCTTTGAGAAGCATGGTTAAAGAAGTAGACTGTTATATACTTGTTGATGAAGTCTTAGATAACACTATCGGTAATATGACGAGCTATTTCCGATTCTATCTCGATATTTGCTGTCGTGCTAAAATAATCTACATGAGATTCGATAGACTTACCCCTCCTCATCTGCAGATGCTCCGGTTGTATAAAGAGTTAACTGTCTAATTAAGTCTCAAATACGTCTAAATACGATATACAACCGGAAGTTTCTATCGTGTAAGAACTCTTCCAACATATGGAAATTATTCAAGGAACTTATTGATGGAAAACAGATAACTCAACAAGTCTGTTTGGATGTCTGCTGATTAAACTAGTTATTTGTTCGTCAGCAAGCTGTTTTCATCCATCCTAGCGTCTGTAGTTAAATGAAAAGCTACTTTCCTGGTTTTCATTATAAATGACGTGTTTAAACGTCTCAAATCTTTGAATCTATCCGAAAGCCCAGGTTCTAATAGCGTTTCATTTATTATATGTAGAAAGTGCGCAGATATTTTATGTCATCCTCTTACAAATATCTTCAATGCATCGTTTTCCGAAAATGCAATACTTGCTACTTGGAAGGTGATTAGAGTTGTACCTGTGCCTAAATCACCTTTTGGATCAGATATTAAGTTTTGACGCATCTCTGTAACCTCCCCTTTTCTAAAGACAATGGAAAAGTTACTTCTACTGAGGCTTGAAACTTCATTGAAGACTTTCAGAGATCCGAAGCAATTTGCCTATTAACACAGGAGAAGTATATTAGATGCTACCACTGTCTTGCATTATAATGTTGTTTCTAGTTTAGACGAAGTTGGTAAGTTTGTTCTATATACCTTCTTAGAATATAAATCAGCCTTTGACTGTGTTCCTAGACCAATCTTTGTCAATAACCTTGCCACTACCCATACTGAGCCATGGGTTACAGACTGGCTGCATCCTTATTTTTCTGAAAGGGAAGAGCTTCGCTTCGTTGGTTACTCAAGCCGACTTACTTCAAGGTGCAGTACTTTCCCCGTTTCTGTTTTCTTTCTTTTTGCATGGGTTACTAACTCCTGAGGTATATAAGAATGATGATAAGGTGCTCTTAGTCATGTTAACGGAAGTATTAACCAGTATATGGGAATCAAATACGATCCCCTCTAACTCATCTGAATCCCTGATTATTCCAGTCTTCAAGAAAGGCGAGAAGTCCTCTTGTGATAACCACAGAGGAATCAGCCTGAAGAACATAGTGTCCAAAATCCTAGGTTCTATAATTCTTCGACGTCTGATCGGAGCTCGGGAACAGCAAGCCCGAGAAAACCAGGCAGGCTGTAGACCCGGTCGCCGGTGTATCGACCAAATATTCACACTGTGCCAGGTTCTGGAACATAGGCACGCTTACCGACGCCCAGCACGAGCTGTATTACTCGACCTGAAGGCAGCGGCATTCGACTCCTTTGGTTGAGAAGTCCTATGGCAATGTCTCTCACTGAAAGGCGTACCGAGTAAATACATCACCTTATTGAAGGCTCTCTCCTGGAACAATTGTGGGCGTGTTAGAGCCTATGGTGAGATGTTCAGAAGGCTATACTCACCGAGTGGTGTCCGTCAAGGATGCCCACTGTCTCCATTCTTATTCAATTTCATCATAGATATTCTCATGGAGGTCTCCCTCTCGTCACTTGATTACACAGACGTTGACCTAATCACAGGAGAATTTTCATTAGACCTAGAATATGCAGATGACATAATCCTGTTAAGTGAAGACGCTGACAAGATGCAGAGTCTTCTGAACACTTTGAGTGGCACCAGAATTGGTCTTTAATAGTGCCACGGCTAACAGTAGAGAGTGCAGTGATTGAGTGTGTCAACCACTTCACTTACTTGGGAAGTAGGATCAGCCCTGTTGGCTCAGCGGTCGATGAAATCTCTGCGCGGATACAAAAGTTTCGACTGGCTTTTGCCAACTTACGCGACCTATGGCGCCGCCGTGATATCCGATTGTCTATTAAGGGTCGCGTGTACTACACCTGCACAGCAGTTCAGTCCGTTCTACTCTATGGCTGTGAAGCATAACCACTGAACGTGGAAGACATGAGAAGGCTTCAGGTGTTTGACTACCGTTGCCTTCATAGTATAGGCCGTTTTCCGTTGTGTCACCATGTGAGTAACGCAGACATCAGGTATAGAGTTTTAGGTAGAAGAGGTAAATCAGTTGATACGGTTGTGAACTTTCATTGACTGAGATGGTTGGGACACGCATGCTTAGCCGCCGACTGCCTCGTCACACAATGTTGGCCAAAGTAGGTCCAGGCTGGAAAAATACCTGAGGTGTCCAGACTAAAACATGGTACCAGTTTATGAAGTCTTTGACTGTTGGTTTGAGCCATGTGGGACGATGCAGACTAGGTGGTTGGGGTCCGCGGGACAAGAGGAACCAGTGGTTGGAGACTCTAGGTGATCACATAGCTCAGAACCGATGTCAGTGGCACAGATGTATACATACATTATCATCTTAACGACGCTATACCGAATCTCACCATTTTTTCATTCTCCCTTTCTCTCTTTTCGTACTTCATATTTCTTTTGATTGAATTTTCTTATCTTCATCTTGCGCTTCACTGCCTTTTTTTGATGTACTGATATGATATGAAGTGTGGCAACTCGAAGTGTTATGCAGTAATGCCTGGTCCTATGTTGATATTGATGATGATGATGATGATGTATGGCTTACCTTATTCTGTTGAAACTAATTTTATTAACTGTGCTGATGACCTGACAGTTTCTATTCCAGTTAACTCTCACTTAAATTGCTCTGAACTAAATGGATTCTTGTCTGTAATTGATCAGCGGTCTCTCTCGAATGGTCTGAAACTTAAATCGCTTATAAATGTTAGATCGTTATTTTTAGCCTCAGGCATAAAGAAGATTTTTGTGAGCTGCTTCTGTTTGATAACTCTTGTAGTATTGTTGTTGCTGTAGGACGGATATCAAGTGTTACTTATATTGGATTGTTTTTCCTCTTACCTCTATTGGTCGTCTTATGTCTTGTTAACTTCTAAAAAAATCTATTGCTTAACGCATTATATAGAGAAGCCGAAACTCTGGTATAACTCAGTCCCTACTTCTATTATTTAATTCCTGTATTTTACCTATACTTCTCTATTATTCCCTGTTAATCTTTCTTGGTCTACTAAAAAATGACTATGCTATATTGTGTAGGGCTTTAAAAGCCGTCAGTAGAGTAATTGCTATCCTTCTGGCTCAACTAATTAACACTATAGTTGGCAGACATTTAAATTCTAACTGGCAACTAGGTGCAGTAATTTTAACTAACTCTGAGCATCCACTTCATTCACAGCTATTTCCTTGTATCTCCTCAGGGACAACAAAAAGAAACTACATATGTCTGTATACTCGTACGGCTAAATATAAGAATTCGACTTTGTCTTACCTAGCACGCATTTTATGTGGGGAAAAAAGTGTTAGAGTAAAATTAACTTATCAAATTTGTGATAATAAATAATCAGTCTTTGCAATGTCTTAACCATTATTAGTGTGTAATTTTCATCTTTAGTAATATTAGTTACACAATTTAAATTGCTATAATTAACACTATCGGAAGTGTTGTGAAGAAGGATATATATTTTTGCTGCACTATTACATGCTGAGAATTCCAAATTATACCAAAATTATTTCGAATAAAGCTTATTATTACTATCTATTGACATACTTGTTATTCTCCGTTGTTTTGTTGGATCGCATTGTTCGACCTCTATTGGCATATGGGCTCTTATGCGGATACCTCGATATTGCCTGAATGTTAATTATGATAAATTGGTTCGTTGTGGCTAGCAGAAGAATCCAGGACGCGCGTTTCGTTCTATTTAGGACTCGCCAGCCGGATGTACCTGCACCCCAGTGGGACTGGAACCTCGTACCCACCGCTTCAAACGCCAAGGCGTTATCCACTATGCCACAACCAACCAATCTGTTATTATTATTATTATTGTTATTATTATTACTAGTATGCAATGCCATAAAGCCATTGATAGTTGCTGGACACGAAAAAATTATTTAAATATTCTTCATATTGGTTGAGATTTTACTCTTTCACATTTTCTTACTTTCCAATATCTTGATTCACTTCACTTTTAAAAATCTCCCTGTCTTTCTTATAACCTTACTGTTTGAAAATGTGAAAACTTGATGCGATACACTTTCGCCAGATGATTTTCCTCCGAGTGTTCTATATTTAGCAAATACTCAAAAAATAGAAATTTTTTCAGCATATACGTTTACATCTGTGAAGGAAGCAGTAAACTACACATTTTGTGTAAAGGTGAATGATACTCGGTAGGTGGGGCGGGATTCGAACGCACGACTCACTGACTGAAAATTAACTACGTAAATCAATGAATGACTTCTCCAATTGGCAAATAATAGATGCGAATCTACCGTCATCCATATCGATTACCACATAATTCAAATTAGTCACCATACAACCTAGATGATGGTGTTCATCTGTTTAAAAGCTCCACTTTTAAGCTATGGATCTGGAGTTTAAAGCCTACTTGACCTACATTGGTGTGATAACTGGGATGGTTTTTATAATCCCTTACTACAAATGTGGCTCATAACCTAGCAAATCAACGTTCATCAGGTCGATTAACGTTATTTAACGAAATCGTGTAGATGAAGTAAGTAAAAGTTTATTTGTTTTGGCAGTTGGTCTATATTGTTGTTGTATTGCCAATATGTTTTTTCTGCCCTTTAAAGAACTTACACTTGACTTGTTCTTTGGGTTATCTTCAGTCATTAAAATCTTCGATGGAGAGTTATTCACCAACTGGGTGCAACTATGAGAAAGACGCCTAGTTATAAATACATCAGTTTTGAAATTGCTTCCCTCCCCCCCCCCCCCCCGAAATACACACTTTATTATGTTCACATCAGACTGAGTGTAATATAATATTTATCCAAATTCTGTTTTTCTTTTAGTTTGAGTCTGAGTGTCGATTTGGTTCTACAGGTCGGAGAATGCCAACACTATTCAACGCTATACGATCTCGTAGTCAAGATAATCGTGTAAATCATTCAGATATCTCTAGGTGGCCTATGATTTCCAAACCTAATAGGCAGTTGAATCGAGTGGCTCGATCATTAACATATCTTCAATCATCACCTGTTTCTCAAGAATTTCTTGCTTGGCAAACACGACAACAACCGCCAAAAATGATGTCTGGTAGCAGTCTTTCACCAAAAGTAGATTATAGTCAATCAATTAACGGAGGAATATCACGTGATTGGGATACTTCAGATAAGGGGAATCCTGGGGATGCTGCACGCAATCTTGTTCAACAAGTTAATGAAATCAAAGAAACTGTAAGGTTCCCATGTTTTTAAAGCTTTGAAATCCGTATCATCCTTTTTCTTTCATATGTGCATAGTAAAGATTCTACAAAGTAAAATGGCTGTTTTGTTCTCTCAGTCTTAGTAATCCAAGTTTTAGTGAGCTTGAATGACGTCTATCCCTGTTTTTGCAGAGGTTTGATTTACAGCGTCACCTGTTCACCAAATATTTAGTAGCTTCATCCATTTCGTCTTATATCCAGGTAGTGCACAATTTAGGGTAAATATATGTGTACCAGGTATACAGGGCTAAAAGGATTCAAACTATTTGACTGGTAAAAACGATTACATTGTCACCACATGCTTTCATCAAGTAAATTGCGTTCATCAAATGGCTATCAAACTTGCGAAAGGTATGCGATCCTGAGGTTTGTGGATTACTCGATCATTGGATGTGGAACAGTCGCTCAATGTCTCAAGCACTAAATTCCTAACCATTAGGTTTGACAAATGTGTCATCGCCTATTCTGGTTGCAAGTAGTGCATTAGTACTGTTATGCACCACGTGAAAAGTGTAACATAATCCATAAGCATATAAACCAGTCGCATTTATTCTTTCTACTATCAACCTCATCTTCGCGTAGAAGTTGAATCCTTTGCTTCATTATGCATACTGCTTTTAATCTTGTAGATAGTTAGTTATATTATATTTGATGTACCTTTTGTCATCTTCCCTATAATAAGATCTGTGTTTGGTTTGCCGATGACAGGTGTTCATATTGCCATGTGGGTTTTAAGTGAAGAAAAATACCATTGATGATCTGTGAGGAGTAGTTTGAAGGCTTAATTCCTTGTAGTCATCTGTTGGTCTTATTCTTATTTAGTAAAGTAATGCTTCGAGATGGATATCTCGAAGTTGTAGTGAGAGGCCGTGACCTTTGTGGTCAACCAGTCGAAAGTGAAGCGGATGCCAAATGGAAACTGTTAACCATTGAACTCAAACCCAGTGGTTGAGTGGTCAATGGGTCCGAGGGGAAACCTGAAGGTCCTGAGATCGATCCCTGGCTGGGTTGTGGGGGCGTACTGCTGAGGAGTCCCATACTAGTTGGACGAAATAACTGTCCAGTGCTCCCGGACTTCCTCTGGTTTTTCGAATTATGTTAACCCATAATGAATACTACCTTAAAGATAAAACCCCCATTAGCCTCAGAATTTAGTTGGCTAGTTATGAAAATAGCCAAACCATGGGAGAGTTTTGGTATACTTGCTTGTATTATCGCGTCGTTGATTGGACCGAATTGATCGGCCTTTTTTGGCATATGAGCTCATGTGCGGATGCCTTGATATTACCTGTCGTTTCATTTTGATAATAATGATAGAAAAGGGGCTAACAGTGGAATTCAGGATGCACATTTCGTCCCGCTTGGGACTCGTCAGCTGGATGTACCTGCTTCCCAGCGAGCGATGTTGTCGCCACTGGGATTCAAACTCGGGACTGATCGCTTCAAATGCCAGAGCGTTATTCACTTGATCATTGAGCCACGATAGCCACTTCTTGTGCGACGAGTATAGTTTTAATATAATTGTTTTTATTATACCGTCGTTGACTGGACCGAATTGCTCGATCTCTGTTGGCAGGTACATCCAGCTGACGAGTCCTAAATAAGACGAAAAGCGCATCCTGGATTCCACTACTAGCCATTATCCATCATTACCATGGAAGAGTTTGTTTTAACAATACACTAGAAGCTTATTTAAAACTTTTTTATAATTATGCCTGCTGTTTATCACTTCATTTAACCTTCACAAGTTATTTTAACGTATTTCATCTTGTGTCTCCCTGTTATAATGCATGTTTTTTGGTCATAATAGGTATTATCATTACTATTATTAGTTGATCAGCATGTAGGCATGCAAATCGAGTATGATTAGAAACATTCTGGTTTTGTTAAACTTTGTCTCTTGTATATTATACTGCTTTACTTTATGCTTTATTAATAAATCTTAGTTGATTGGAAGCGATCAACAGAAAGCTCTGAACCTAGGTTTGCACTACTGGTACCCGTCAGCAAGGCGTACATGCAACATCGAGGGAAGTGTTGTGTCCTCCGAGATTCAAACTGGCGCCACCTAGTGTTGTAGCCAGCAGTGTTGCCATTGAGCTACTCTAGCTGCAACTGACCTTCTGTAAAGCTGAATTAGGTAGATTATTTCGTCACTGGCCATCTAGTTAGAAGGATCACCATCGCAGTGCACTTTGATGATAGATGTTAGTTGGTTGAAGGGAGTCATCAGGATGCCTTAAGATGTGTAACTTTTTCATGGAATTGATCGATGGAAATCATTCAGCGCTCGGGAATAGACAAAATGAATTCGGTTGTTGCGCAGTAATCAAGCCGTTTACTTTATTTATACTTGAACTTTGACATAGAAACAGTAATGATGGGTAGTGGCTAACAGTGGAATCCAGGATGCTCATTTTTTCCTATTTGGTACTCGTCAGCTAGATGTACCTGCCTCCCAGTGCCTGGTGTTGTTCCCACCGGGATTCGGACTCGTTTTGTTCCCGCGACAGGTGTTTTATGTTTCAGCTGTTATTAAAAATATCTCCGTTCCTCTCTACAGTTATGATTTATAAATTGAAGTTGTGACTTGTATACTTATTTTTTGCACTAAATATGACTAGCAGTTATAACTGCTCTTACCATTATCACACTAAATAATCACCGACTTCATACAAATAAGGTGCTTGGAAAGTTGTTTTTAATTTGCCTAGTCTGGAGGAGTTAGTGCGATGAAATTGTCGTTAAACATGGTTGTGAATATTTATTATTTTGGTATTTGTATTTTCCAATAAATGTAAAACAAAATAAATTCCAACCTAAAATCAATTCATAAGTCTTCATAAGCCTTGTGATAGAATTAATTTAACGCTGATTGGTGACTAGCTTCGAGAGGATGATTCTCGAAGTCGTGACCAGTGGAGTCAACCAAGTCGAACATGAAGACAGTTACTCAACGATGACATTGGATGTGGGTTGCGCTATTATTATGAACTAACGAAAGTAGTAAATATAGAGCATTGGATTCTGACCCAATGGCTCAATGGTAACGTGCTTGCCACGGAACCTGAACGTCCTGGGTTCGATCTCTGGGGTGTGAGATTGTAGATGGGCACCACTGGGAAGTCCCATAGTAGTTAGACGAAACAACTGTCCAATGTCCCTTCAACTGATGTCAGTCTATGGTGAATTCAAACCTATAATCAAAATAAATTTGTTTCAACTCAACATATTAATGAACATAGTAATAATAATAATAATAATAATAATAGTAATAGTAATAATAATGGTAGTCACTTTATTCTAAGCAACATATGTAACATTATAGAATTTTCAGCAGATACGCTCCCCGTACAATATTCTTCAAAGAAATAATTAATACACCTGAATAGTGTTAATTATAACAGAATTATATTATAGCCACTAATGTGAAACCGGTAGCTGGTGTTATATTAGCGTCTGATTTGGACTTAGAAATGAATATAAAATTGAGTGTAATTATAATAATGGTAGTTCAATCAGCCAGTACAAAAATCTACAATTCTATATAGAGGTAGGCATCCTAAAAATAGTACTGGGCTGTATTTTTGAGCATTTATATCTCCATTTCCATCTGGAATAACGTTTTCTCTTTGTTTCGTTCTTACTTTGAGAAGAGACAGTTTGAAAACATTTTAAAAAAGTGCGAGAGTACCCAGTACATTTAGAAGACATATATTAAAGATTAAAACAAATTGATGGGAAAGAATTTGATGAAGTATATTGGATGGAAAATGTTCAATAGCCCAGATGATGAATATATTGATGAAACATTTTTGAATAAAAAGGTCCATACTTTTATGTGGAATGCAGGAACAACAGATCCAGTGTCATGTTATACAACTCAAGAACCTAAATCATATAAGTGTACTAGGCTCTAATGAACCTTGAGTAATCTGTAAAACCAGTCAGTAGATGTTAGTTAATTTGAGGCAGTCGGCAGGAAGCCCTGGACCTAGGCTTCGTGCTAACTGGCACTCGTCAGCAAGGCATGTCTGAAACCTCGAAGGAACTAACGTCTTGACTGAGATTCAAACCCACACCCCTCAGTAATGTGTTCAGCGAAGTTTCAAGTGAGCTATTCGGGCTGTGACCAACCACTTGTACTACTAGATGAAATACACTGACTATTTATGAGAGAGAAACCAATTTCATGTTGTGTAGTCCTGAGTGCTAGTTGTTCTCAATGTTCTCAATGTACCTAACCCAATCCTACAGGAGGTCAATCGTGGCCCGAATAGATCATTGGTAAAGTCGATGACTACAACATTGGATGACATGGGTTCGAATCTTAGGCGGGATATCAGTTCCTTTGAGGTTTCAGATACACCTTGCTGACGAGTGCCAACAAGCACGAAACCAAGGTCCAGGCCTTCCTGCCGATTGTTTCCAACCAACTAACATCTACTATTGTGCACCGCGATGCTGAGCCCCTTAGATTGGTAGCCACATTACAAATATGATCGATAAGATTCGGTTTGCACTTAGGACCAGGGAACATGAAATTGGTTGCTCTCCCGTGACTCATCAATACAATTCGTAAAACCTTACACTATTTTTTTCAGTAGTCTACGACGAACTAGGCTAGTGGGATTTGAACGTAGAATTGTTTGCTTCAAAGTCGGATGCTTAAGCCGATGTGATGTGTATCATGATGTTGTTGAGTACTTAGAGTGAGTAAGCCGATGAATTACACCTCCCCTCTGTAGTTATAGTTTATGTGTGAAAGATGAGTACAGTTACATGTTGTATTATTCCAGTATTAACGTGGTTAATGGTAGACACTTTTTGCCAAAAGGTCATTAGCATAGTGGAAGGAAATAATGTTAACCGTTTAATAAGAATATAGATGTGATAATGATTGTACTTCCTTGATTTCGTCGGCGATATATCTTTCTCCCTTCTCTATCTGTTGAATACTGCAACTGCTCT